GGTGATAATCCAAATATTCGACCACAAGCATGACACAGACATCAACCAATTGGAGTGGCTGTTAACAGTATCTACTGGTGTCTGAATACCAGTATAAAATGTATCTTCTTAGGATTGCCTGGGTGGCTCAGTGGGTTAAAGTCTCTGCCTTTGGCTCAGGTCATGATCCCAGGGTCCCGGGATCAAGCCCTGATTTGGGCTCTTTGCTCAGCAGGGAGCCTGCTTCCTCCTCTCTCTCAGCCTACTTGTAATCTCTGTCTGTCAAACAAATAAATAAAACCTTTTTTAAAAAATGTATGTCCAGGGGGCGCCTGGGTGGCTCAGTGGGTTAAAGCCTCTGTCTTCGGCTCAGGTCATGATCTCAGAGTCCTGGGATCGAGCCCCACATTGGGCTCTCTGCTCAGCAGGGAGCCTGCTTCCTCCTCTCTCTCTGCCTGCCTCTCTGCCTACTTGTGATCTCTGTCTGTCAAATAAATAAATAAAATCTTAAAAAAAAAAAAAAAGAAAAAAGAAAAAAATGTATGTCCTTTAGTAAAAAAAAAAAAGAAAGAAAAAAAAAGTGAAATTCATTGGTCTGTGGATTGTAGCCTAACGCTTTTGGGGAATGGGAGGCAGTGGGCCCATGTTTCTAAGCACCCTTCCTTTGGCATTGTCCCTGGCCAAAGGAACATGTCCATGATCCACTCCTGCCCTTGCGGGAACCTTTCCTGGATCTAGAGCAGTCCTCACATGGCGTGACTTGGGATATTCTAGATATCTGTGTTTCTACCGGCCAATATCCATCCCCATTTGTCAGGAACCAGCAATCCCCCATCTCCCTGCTGCCACCTAGCCCAGGCGTCAACTGCTGTTAGTCTCAGGGCCCTGCAAGTTTCCCAAACTTGACTGACTCCTGACTCCACCATGCCCTTGCACAAGCAGACAGCCTGTCCTCACTGTGCTCTGCTCCTTCTTACCTCCAAATCTTTACTCACTCTGGATCCCTGCTTGGAAGCCTTTTAATCTTAGCTTGCCTGAATCCTAGTTTCTCTTCAAGGCTTTGAAAAAGAGCACCCCCCCCCCTTTTCCTGCTGACATCCGAGACTGTCCTGGGCATTCTACATAGAACATTGGTGTCTTCACCCTTTCACTCCCAAATATTTCCCACTCTCCATCTTCTCTAGGAAGCTTTGGCTGGGCTGACCCCACATCTCAAACTCTTTTGAGTGCCTCCTTACTCATCATTCTCCCCAGATTACCTTGAGAGTTCCTTCAGGAATGAATTGAGAAATAGACAATTTCCATTACATCAGTTTTCTCCAGAAATTTATTTTGGAATTCCCCAGACTGATAAAACTTCTGGGGCCCCGGGTGGCTCAGTCAGTTGAACCTCTGATTCTTGGTTTCAGCTCAGGTCATTACCTCTTGGTTGTGAGATCAGCCAAGTATCAGGTTCTGCACTCAGCCCAGAATCTGCTTCAGATTCTCTCTCCCCCTCCAGCGCTCTCTCTCTCAAATAAATAAAATAAATAAATAAAATCTTAAAAAAAAAAAAAACCCTTCCAAAAAACTCTGGGAACTGACAGAATTTGTGTATTAACCAGTTGTGTATAACAACCATGTAACAACAACAGGAAAAACCAAAAGAAACGACCATTGTGTTATTGCCAATGTTTCATGAAAACACATTTGAACACCAAGAAAGTAGGAAGGGCATAATTTAGAACAAAGAATCATTCTTTAAGTTCATCTTTAACAAAAAACCCTACAAAAAACCCTACAAAAAACCCAACAAAAATCACCCCCATTTTCTCCATTTTGCCGAGGACCAGTGAAAACATTGTCATGGAAACCGCCAGAAAGGTACAGGAAGGAAGAGAGAGACAGTGGAGAATGTCAGAAGAGGGAAGAGACAGTGGAGAATGTCAGAAGGTGAAGAGACAGAGAATCGGGGGTAGGAGGAGATCATAGAGGTCCCCCAGTGAGGTGTTCCCCTGTTTTGGACTGACTCCCATTCTCCTCATACAAGACTGGAGAAGCCATGTTTGGACCCTGGCCAATGGGCAGCATTGTGGCCACACTCACAGGTCAGGTGGCTCAGTGACCACTCCTATACCCCTGGCCCTGGACACCCTGGTGATCTGGCTTCCACCCCCGCTTCTTGCTGCAGAGGTGTCCTGGACTTGTGCCTGTGACCAGCACCAGCTGGACTGGGGAGACAAGCCATTGGTACAGGAGAAGGAGTGTAGGACTTGGAGACAAGAGCCCAGGGTCTAGGCCAAGCTCTGGTGCTTTGCTTGTGGAAGTCCGTCCTTCTCTGGGTGTCCGTTTCCTCACCTTAAAATGAAGGTTCTAAACCAGTCTTAAGTCATTTCTGAGGAAAACTGCAGACCCTTGTCTTAAAAAAAATTGTTTTAAGCCACGCACATAGAATTTCAGGGGCTCCGCCATCCCCTCTGAACCTTCAGTGAACTTCCCAGGTGCCTGGGACCCCGGATCAAGAATCCCAGCTTGCCAATCCTGACACACACTGGCTGGCCTCTTGCCTCCAAATGTGTCCTTTTTGGGGCAGTTAACAGTATTTTCCAGTTTCCTAACACTCACAAGGCATGACCAAACACCTCAGGGAAGGAGAGAACTCTGTACAAAGAATTATGAGTGCCTGGGGATCCTCTCTAGTTCACAGTGGGGCTGGGAGAGATTGCGAGCTTCGTGGTGGGTAACTAGCTGCCCAAAGCAGCAGACCACGGGTCTGGAGAGCTGTAGATCACGACTTCTGGAGGGAGAGGACACTGTGATAACAAAATCCCTTTACTGGGAACAAGGCCTTAAGGTCACCCACTGCAGTGTGGGACAGGGGTAAGAGCTTGGGCTCTGTAGCTAGAATGCCCTGCGTTTGTATCAAGGCTCTGTGACTTAATTGTGCTATTTGGGCAAGTTATTGTGCCTTGAACTTTTGGGTTCCTCATCTGTAAAATGGGGCTAAGAGTTATGCAGCAGAAATGATAGAATACACTGAATTCTCTGAGACTTCCTTGAATTTCCCAGCCTTCCTTGCAGAAGCTGAGGTCATGTGACTAGTTTTGGTCAATGGTCTGTGAGTGGAAGAGGTGTGTGTCACTCCAGGCTGAGGCACTGAAGTGTCTGTATCCTTTCTCCATCTCTCTCTTCCACCTTCCAGCATGACCCTGGAGGCCAGTCTTCCAGATGGTATAGCTACAAAACAGAAGAAAGATCTTCTGTTCCATACCAGATTTTACATGACTGGTAAATAAGACATTATTGTGCCAAGCCACTGAAATTTCAGGAGCTCTCTATTGTGGCAGATAGTGTTAATTACCCTGACTAATACAGGGAGATCTAAATGGGTTGATGCATCCCAAACCCTCTGAGTACAGTGGAGGCTCTTATTCTCAGACGAAAGCCTTAAGGCCCCTATTTTTGTCAGCCCAGCTAACATAACAAAATATCACAGATGAGGGAGCTTAAATGATAGAGATGTATTTCCCACAGTTCTGAAAACTGGAACCTCAAAATCAGGGTGTCAGCATGGTCAGGTTCTGGTGAGAGCCCTCTTCTTGGTTTGCAGATGGCTGCATTTTGTGCTGTGTCCTCATATAGCAGACAGAAAAAGACATCAAGCTCTCTGGTGTCTTTTTTTTTTTTTTTTTTAAGTAATTTCTACAACCAATGTGGGGCTAGAACCCGTGATCCCGGATCAAGAGTAGAGATGCTCTATCAAGTGAACCAGTCAGGTGCCCTTCTGGTGTCTCTTCCTATGAGGGCACTAAACCCCTTAGGGGGGAACCCTCATGACCTCATCTAAACCTAATCACTTCCCCAAGTCCCCATTTCATATATCAACACATTGTGGGGGCAGGGCTTCAACGTATGAATTTGGGAGGGGCAGAAGTGGGTCTGTAGCTCCCCCTACTGAGCCAGGCCTTCTCACATCTCTTCTTAAAAGCAAATTTTTTTCAAGATTGATTGATTGATTGATTTTAGAGAGAGGGAGAGAGAGAGAAAGCAGGCAGGGGGAGGGGTAGAGAGAGAGGAAGAGAGAGAATCTCAAGCAGACTCCCCATGGAGTGCAGAGTCCTACACAGGGCTCGATCTCATGACCCTGAGATCATGACCTGAGCCAAACTCAAGAGTGGGACGCCTAACCCACTGAGCCACCCAGGTGTCCCAAAAGCAGATTTTTAAAAGCAGAAGCAGGCAAGTGTGAGGTGAGGTGAGGGTTTCATGAAGAGGGATGTCCTGAGGAAGGTGCCTGTCCCGAAATTCCACTGATCACTATATGCTGCTGTCCCTTAAACCCCCTTTCCTTCTGAGTCTTCCTCTCTCCTCCCCTCCCTTTTGTCCCCACACCCTGACTTTTCATACAATTCAGAGACAAAATCTTAGACAATTAATCATCTAACCCAGACCAGACACATCCTAGGTCTTGGAGGCCATCTTGTCTTACTTTCTGTTTCTTACTGACAGCAAGACTGGACCTCGAGAGGTCCAGTGAAAAGCTCCAGAAGTTGCGCTGGCTTCTCCAAAAGATACAGGGTGGGGGGCCGCTGGGGGCACCAAGGACAAGGAGAAAGAGAGAGTCAGACTATTAGGAAGGAAGCTCGTTTCATTTCGGTATATCAACTTTGCATCATTTTTCAAAGCAAAAGTTTCTTTCGCAGGTTTTTTTTTTTTTTTTTTCAATTTGTAAGTCATGCCTAGGGAGGGTCCTAGGGCCCCTAAAATGTGCACTCCAGTCTGTCCAAGGCTTGACTCAGGGTGTCACGGGAGCTCTTTTCCTTATTCCATTAGCTTCCCAGGGCCTGGGGGGAGTCCTCGGCGGTGCTGGAAAGGGCTTCTGTCTGCCTCTGTTCCTGAGCAGCCTGTGACCATTAAATTCTTCACCCTCCACCTCCAGCCCAGGGCGGGCCCCTGGGGCACCAGGTCACATGCCAGGCAAGGGGTTTATCCCTGCGGCCCCTCCAGCCCCAGCAGAGCCTCGAACCTTGGCGCCCAGGCCCATGGCCACAGCCTTCATGCTCCTTGTAGGGGTCCTGCTCCCTTGCTGGGGCGATTTCCGGCTCTTTAAAAAGAGGTTCATGAAGGTGAGCCAAAAGAGCATTTTGAACTTTCTACTATAGTGGGCGTGGGGGTGGGGGTGTGTGTCTGGCATCACAGACCAGCCAGGCGGCCCCAGTCGGGTTTGAAGAGTGAAGTAGGGGGTGGGTGTGGGTACCACCCCAAAATGGGGACTTGTTCCCGGGGCTGGAAGCTTAATGTGTCCCTCCCCACCCCCAAAGAGCTTCAAAGCTCTGCTTCACCTCCCCGGTGGGCCTGGAGGTGAAAGAAAGTGGTCTTATGACCAGCACCTCCCCTGAGCCAGTGCCCACCCCCACCATCTCAGACCTGGTCCCCCAGCCACACCTTATCAACCTGCCCGCGCTCGCTCTTCTCCCTCTCTTGAGCACAATCACTGTTTCTTCCCTTCCCTGTCTTTCTCCCCCTCCCTTTCTTTCTCCCTGTCCCTTTCTTTCCACGCAACCCCCACCCCCCAAACCAAGGTGTGATCTGTGAGTATTTGCTCCCCTAGCACCAGGGAGATGGAGGCCCAGGAAAGGAGAGGCAGAGAGGGAAGTACTAACCTCCTGTTCTTCTGCTTCTCTGAGCACTGCTGGGGCGGGTGCGGGATGGGGGGTGGCACCTGGTGGTCACCACCTCATGGCTTCTCTTTCTGGACCCCTGGGGCCTCGACAATGCCCCCCATCCCTCCCTCTCCTTGGCATACCACCAGAGAGCTGGTGACAGTTGTCCCCACAGGTGAATGGGGCTGAGTGCTCCCACCACTCTGAGTGTGCCAGTGACTGCTGCCTGATGGACCTGGACCGTGCTGGAGCCTTCTGTGCCCCCAGGGCCAGAATGGCCATGTTGTGCTTATTCCAGGTGACGCTCCGGGCTGGTGCAGCTGACTCTGCCTTGAGGGGTGGGGGAGGCTACAAAAGCCCACGTGGCTGTCCCTGCTTTCCCACCCTCTGCTTGGGGTGCCCTCACCCCTTCCTCCTCCCGGCAAGCTCCTACTTGTCCTGCAGGACAACTCCAGTCACCTCCTCAGGGAAGCCTTCCCTCCTTGGAGCTCATAGGAGCTCCAAGGGGAGCTCCTCATGGGAGGGTATGGAGCTCATACCCTCAGTGCAGTATGGCTCCAGCCAATTTGCCTTGTTTTCCCTCCACCTTCACCACTGGCAGGAGCCCTTCCGGGGTGGGCTTACAGCAGGTTCACCTCTGAACCCCCTCCCTCCCAACTTAGTACCTGCACATATTAGGGGTTCAACGAATGTTTGTTGAATGAACATCTCTCCCCTGACTCACTGAGACAAAGTCGATGGGAAGAGACTCTTCCCTACCTGTCCCCCACCTCCCTAATTTTTTTAAAAAAGATTTTATTTATTTATTTGTCAGAAAGAGAGAGCGCACAAGCAGGCAAAGTGGCAGGCAGAGGCAGAGAGAGAAGCAGGCTCCCCGCTGAGCAAGGAGCCTGATGCGGAACTTGATCCCACGACCCTAGGATCATGACCTGAGCCAAAGGCAGATGCTTAACTGACTGAGCCACCCAGGTGTCCCCCCACTTCCTTAATTTTTTGAGAGGAGCATGGCACTGTGGGGACTGAACCACAGCTTGGGAGTGGGACCTGAGTTTGTTTCTTTGTTTAAGAGTTTAGTTCTTTATTTGACACAGAGAGAGAAAGACAGCACATAAACAGGGGGAGTGGCAGAGGCAGAGGGAGAAGCAAGCTTCCTGCTAAGGAGGGAGCCTGATGCAGGGCTCTATCCAGCACACTGGGATCATGATTTGAGCCAAAGGTGGACGGTTAACCATCTGAGCCACCCAGGGGCCCTGGACCTGAGCTTTTCCACTTCCTGTCTTTGTGACCTCAACCAGGTCACTTCTGCTCTCTGAGCCTCAGTTTCCTCATCTGTAAAATGGGGCTAAAACCACAACTTCACTGGGTTGTCTTGGCAACAATGATGCTCACTGGAGCTTGGTTATGAGCCGGCAGAAATGCGGAACACAGCGTACATGTTGTTACTACTCATCATTTCTTATCTGGCCCTGGGCCCACGCCTTTCTAGAAGAATGGGCTCGGCTTCCATGTCCCTGTCTGGGGAGCTGCCAGTGCCCTAGGGAGGTAGCCAGTCCTCTGACTCTACAGCTGGGGTGGCCAGAGGGTCTTTAAATTATGGCCCCTTGCTCTATTTTATCCAGTCCTCATGATCACCCTGTGGGGCAAGTTACTATTACTATCCCAATTTGACAGATGAGGAAACTGAGACCAAGAAGCTCATTCACTTGCCTAAAGTCATAAAGCTATCCTCGGCAGAGCTGACACCCCTTTACTCATGCTTGTGTTCCTCCTCCCCGAGATGTTAAAGCCTCCTTCTTCCCTGCACCTCAGTGACCCCCAACTCTTGTTCGCATTTCCCACAGACCAAGGGAGCTATCAACATCATATGCCCCTGCCAAAGCGGCTTGAGTTGCATAACCAGGGACCCATTCTGTTCCCGCCGGTGCCATTTGATTTAAAGGAGGACATAGGCTGATTGCTGACCACCCCCTGCCCTGGGGCCAGAGGCCTGAAGAGCCCCCATATTGCTCATGATCCAGCTCCTGAGACATTAAACTCAATTCCTGACCCTGGTTTCTGTCTGCACTTCCTGGGAGAGGGAACCTGCTAGGTATTATTCCAGTCCAGGGGCGGGAAAGTTTGGCCCTGTCTGTGGTGGTCTCAGGCCAAACTGCAGGAGAGGAACAGGGTAGGGGAAGGTGAGTGAAGAGGTGGGGTCCTGGAAGAGTGTGGAGGGCTTTACAGGAAGGGCAGAGTTGAGGAATATGGCTGGAGAGCATATGTTGGGGTGCTCATGGATGAGTATGAGGTAGGAAGGACTGGAAAGGAATTTTGAAATGCTTTCCAAGGGGAGGACAGGATGGAGATCATTGAGAGAATGTTGATGAGAATGTATAATGTAAATGCCAGAATGTTCATGCCGGTGGGGGGAAAGACCTGGTGCACTGAGGTCTCTCTCCACTCTCTCAGATATTATCAGTTCCATTTTGTGGGTAAAAAAACTGAGGCTGAGAGCTACATGACTCTCAAGGTCACCCCATGAGGGTTTCAATGAGGAGTTTTTCTGCTGCAAGTACCCAAAACAACCCAAACTGGTATAGATGATCAGGAAATTCATGCATGGTTAGAACTGGAAGTTCAGTGGCAGGCGGGCTTCAGGTCTGGCTGAATCCAGGCTCTCCATGCCCCTGAGGCTGGATTCCTTCTCAGTAGCCACAGAAGTTCCAGGGGTCACCTAACAATAACTAACAGCTAGGATTTCTTGAGCACTTATGTCCCACACACTACGCAAAGTGCTTTCTTATCTATATTAACTCATTTTATTGTTACAAGTTTAGAGTAGGTACTATAATTACCCCTATTTTAGGAAGGGGGGGGCGCCTGGCTGTCTCAGTCAGAAGACCATGTGACTCTTCATCTCAGGGTCATGAGATTGAGCCCCATGTTGGGTGTAAAGATCACTAAAAAAATAAATAAATAAACACATTTTATAAATAGGGTACCCTTCTCAGGAGTTCAGAGTAAAGGATGGGGCTGGGATTTGAACCCAGGCTGTCTTGCTCCAGAGGGCAGGCTCTTAATCATGAAGACGGCTGGGATCTTTCATATAACACAGCTTTTTCCTCCCGTCTGATCAGCCTTTTCTCTGCCCAGACATGGGCTCTCATCCTTTCTCTCAGAAGCCTTATTTCTAAGGTGAGGTCTCTAACCCCCACCCCCAATAGTTTCCTTCTTCTTTTCCCCCAATACAAGGCAAGAGACAATGCTATGAATTCAAGCCCCTTTTCATTTTCTTCATCCTTGGCACCAGAAGGATTGCTTTTGTACAGGTAGCTTGGGCTGTGTAACTATTTCTAGTCAGTGAGGTGACAGGTGTAACTTCTGAGCCAAAGCAGAGAAGCCCAAGCGTGACAGAATAAAAAGGAAGACTACTTTTTGGATGACTGCCCAGTGATAGCTTTCCAACCCCTTTGGCGCCACAACCAGGCAAGCTGGTTAGAAATCACACATCTCCTCCCTTGGTGCTGGTGGGCAGCGCAGACCACACAAGCCCCAGCCTGCTCTGTGAAAACCTCACTCTGGCCCCATCACCACAGTAACAGCCAAAGCCACACACCCCTTCATCCTTGCCACACACATCTCCTCGCACCTGTCCTGAAGTTTCCTGTGTTCCAATAATCAATCTTTTCCTATCGTCTTGGTTTGTGCATGATAGGTCCCAACATCCAAACCAATATGGGACAAGAGTTGATCTCCCCCTCCATGAAACACCCAGAAAAACTTTGAGTTCTCCAGTTCTCTTTTGCCATGACCAGGTGGTGGGATAAGGTGGTGGCTGGGGAGGGGGGGTGCAGTGCCTGGGTCACTAAGTCACTGGGTGAAGGACAGTGACCCCGAGAGTGTCCTGATTCACAGCTGACTTTGCACATGTGTTCACGAGTGTGGTGTCAAGCCTCTGTGATTCCTGGGTACTTTGTGCCCACGGCATTACCTAGCTTGACTTACCAGCCTCTATGAAAATGTCCAGCTGCTCTGCCCTCCATCTTACCAGCTGTTCCCACCGCCAAGGCTGTCACTTTGTGGACTGTCTTCACCTCAACCCACTCACAGTCTTGGAATGTCTGGCTTGGAATTCTTCTGCTGGCCTGCAGAGATGCCTCCGGGCATACAGGAATTTTCCCAGAGGGGGAGTTACTGAAATTCTAATTGAGGGGCACCTGGGTGCTTCAGTCAGTTAAACATTGGACCCTTGATTTCAGCTCAGGTCATGACCTTAGGTCCTAGGATACAGCCCCACCTGGGGCTCTGCACTGAGTGTGGAGCCTGCTTAAGATTCTTTCTCCGGTGCCTGGGTGGCTCAGTTGGTCAAGCGACTGCCTTTGGCTCAGGTCATGATCCCGGGGTCCTAGGATGGAGCCCAGAATCAGGCTCCTTTCTCAGCGGAGAGCCTGCTTCTCCTTCTCCCTCTGCCTGCTACTCCGCCTGCTTGTGCTGTCAAATAAATAAATAAAATCTTAAAAAAAAAAAAAAGATTCTCAGGGGCCTGGGTGGCTCAGTCGTTAAGCATCTGCCTTTGGCTTAGGTCATGATCCCTGGGTTCTGGGATTGAGTCCTGAATCAATGGGGAGCCTGCTTCTCCCACTCCTACTCCCCCTGCTTGTGTTCCCTTCCCCTCTCTCTCCGTCAAATAAAGAAATAAAAATCTTTGAAAAAAAAAATTCTCTTTTTCCCTTTTCCTGCTGCCCGCAACCCTCTTTCCCATTGCATGCTCTCATTCTCTCTCTCCCTAAAAAAAAAAAAAAAAAAAAAAAAAATTCTAATTGAAGGCCTCTTGGGGAGAGAGTGGAAAGATGAAAACTAGAACCTCATTTTCTGTTAATTGATAGCTTTGTGACTTTGGGGAAGTTTGGCAACTTCTCTGGGCCCTAGTCACCTCATCTGAGAAACAAAATATTCATAATACTGTTTATTAACAATAATATACAATCGGATTACATGAAAGATTCTTTTCAAATCCCTTGAACTCGAAGAACTTCGAATTCTAAAGATAATGAGAACTGCTTCCATATACTGGGCGTCAACACCAAGTGAAGCACAGTATCTGTTATTTAATCTGAAAGTTCCCTCCACCCCTGCGATGACTGCGTTAGCCGACGTGTTGCCGATGGAGAAGGAAAAGCAAAGTCTCGCTCGGAAATTAAGAAGTCCCTCCGAGATCACACAGCCAGTAGGCAGCGGAGCTGGCATTTGAACCCAGGTTGTGCCAGGGCCAGAACCTGAGTGCGGACTAGACTCTTCTGCGGGTGGCCGGATGAGTGCAGAAAATGGTCCAGGACACAGCAGCTCTTCTGGGGAAACTCTCACTTTACCCCCATTGCTTGTTTTTCTGTCCCTGGGAGCTGGCAGCCGCCTCTCCAGTCAACCCTAGGAATGGGCATTCACACTTCATTAGCTCCCCTCCAGGCCCGAGTCACATGCCAGGGCACTCCGATGGTCCTTTGAAGCCCACCACCTGCTCTGGGCCTTGACGCACCTGCTGCTGCCCCTGCCCATCCTCACCCTCCTTTTTGCTTCCCCCTCATAGCAGCTCATTTTTACGAGGGACAAATCGATTACTCGGCAAGGACCTGGAGCATACAGTCACTGTGCCCAGACCCGTGCTGACTGGGGAGCTGGGTGGGCACAGAGGCTGATGCAGGCAAAAGCCGAAAGACGCCGGCAGTGGGGAAGGTTGGGGGGAGGATGTCGGGGAGAAAGAAAACCCATTCTAATTGTGGGAGCTATGCCAGGACTGTGCTAGATGCTGCCACCGCACAGGTGAATATGACTCAGGACTCCCTGCCCCAGGCTCACATCTGGTAAGAGAGACATTCATTCATTCATTCATTCATTCATTCAACAAATTTTACTATATATGGAAATTATCTTTCTAGGTGCTAGGGATGGGGTTGTGAGCAAGACCAAAAAGCTGTGCCCTTGTAGAGCTGACATTCCACTGGAGGAGGCAAATAGGGATAATATTTATATAGCCCAGGCGATACACACCTGGTGACAAAGCAAACAGGGAAGGGGCTTCAGGTATGGGGGTGTAAGGAGAGGGTGGAGTTTGAGACAGTGTGCATAGGGCAGATCTTACAGACCAAGTGCAATTTCAACAAAGACCTAAAGGTATAGAGTATTATAATATTCTCACGTATGCAGCACCTAAGCATTCAGCACCTACTGTGTGTGAGGACTTTAGTCCTATGGGCTAAGAAATATGGCAGTGAACAAAATAGGGAAAGAGACTTGTCCCCTGGAACTTAGGTTGGAACAGGAGGGAGACAGAAAGTTAAAAACAAAAGGAGAAAGAGAAAGATGAAGATAATTTTAGAGAATCCTAGTGTTGTGAACATAGTGAGGCCAACTGATGGCGGCTGCTGGAGCTGGGTGTTCAAGGGAGGCCTCAGTGGGAGGCAGCCAGATAGGGCTCACAGGCCAGCATGTTCTGGGCAGAGGCACCAGCAAGTGCAAATGGCCAGGGGCCAGGTGAATCTGGTGCATTCAGATCCCCAGTGGTGGCTGCCTGGTGTATGTGTGCGCATGTGTGTGCATGTGTGCGTGCATGTCTTGGGGGTGAGGGAGCAAGAGATCTAGTGATGGGCAGGCAGCCCTGGGATGAGGAAACCTTGCAGGTCCAACAAAGCATTTCAGTATCTAAATGCCCTAGGAAGTCCTTGCAGGCTTTGAAGCAAGGGAATGACATGATAGGATTTACCTTTAAAAAAAGATTTCTCCTGGGGTGCCTGGGTGGCTCAGTGGGTTAAAGCCTCTGCCTTCGGCTCAGGTTCTGATCCCAGGGTCCTGGGCTCGAGCCCTGCATCGGGCTCTCTGCTCAGCGGGGAGCCTACTTCCCCCTCTCTCTGTCTGCCTCTCTGCCCACTTGTGATCTCTATCTGTCAAATAAGTAAATAAAATC